GATGTGAAAGGACGCCAAAGATAAAGAGGAAAAACATCCATAGGCAAGTCGTCATAGCTCCAAGTCTTAGTACTCCCCTAAAGGGGGGAATATGGAAGAATAAAGGAAGGATACGATAAAAAATGAGGAAGGGATGAGATTGTACTTATCCAAATGTTACAAATATGCTATGATTCCAGAATGTTATGTAAGCACGACGTCAAAAAAAAGTAAGGATTCCTTCCCGGGATGTTATCGATAGATAAGGAACCAGTACGGGAGGTAAGTTAAGGCAAAAAAATAACCCAAGAAAGATTACGTGGAAAATGAAAATGAGAATGGGCTGACAAGTAGATAGTAGTTGATTCAGGAAGAGCCTAGTCATGACTAGACAAGAAGTTACAAACAAATCAGTAGATCATGCAAGATAAATGTAGTAAACCCCAACATAGATAATTCAGCCTCAAAGTAATGTCATTATAATACTTGAGATATATTCAAATAGGAGTCGGGGTAGTTAAAGGTACCGTATGAGTTTTACGGGGATAAAAGAAAGTGCCTCTAGGAAGGCAATCAAAATATCAGTTCAGAAGCAAACCCACAAGCACACGGGCACGGAGGTAAGCAACTACGGATAATTATAGGCAAGGAAGGATATCAAATGGTCTGTAATAAGCTCATAGCTTTACGAGGGTCAATGATTCTCCCTAAGTACTACGATGAAGGACTAGCTGAGGAAACAAGGAAGAAGACTTCAACCTAAGCACAACGACCTCAAGAGGAAATGGTCGTGTGACAACAGTCTCCAAACAACATTGTATGCACTCCCTAGGAAAGTGGCACCTACCGTGGCTAATGAACATAAAGTAAAAATCGGAAGTGATATTCAAGATCATATGAGTTGTATGAAATTTCAATATATGTGGGAACTAAGATAAGCTAAGTATGGATGCAACAAGGGTGCAAAAAGACCAAGAAAAGTAATAGCTTACATTGAAAGAAAGCTAAAATGGAATGAAAGAACTTATTCGAGCAATGATCCAGAGTTGGTTACGTTATGAACTCACTTAAGGGTTCAGAGTTTTATACATGCAACATATACAGTCGTAGAAGATTCTGGTATACGTTAAAAGAAAGAATTGAGCCCAGGTCATAAACGAATAATTAAATTATTAAAGGGTTGTATCATACATATTTCTCAAGCCCGTGAAAGGCTAAAAAAGATAACTAATACCATGAACCATAGATCGGAAGATAGCTTAAGCCTACATAAAGGTTGATCAGAGGGAAGAGGAAACTAAAGAGTCACATCAACTAAGTAATCAGGAGTCTGATTATTGGACCCAGAAAATTAGAAACATCATGATCAAGAACATTGCAGGATCTCCCTTAAAAATCAAAGGTACGAGAGAGATAGTACAACAACCATAGTTTATAACGGCTCTACGATAAATCCAGTAATAAGAAGTTAGTATGAAGCTCCCACCGGATTGTAGTATTGTAATAAAGCTTCAAGTTGTGGTGTGAATCATACCTATGTGGAAGAGAGGTTATGAAATAGACAGAAGATATGATATGAGATTTTAAGTAAGTAAGGTAAAGATGAACAACGTAATAGATACTCAAATGCAGAAGGTTATAAATAGTCCATACTTCGGATATAAGGCTATAAGCATGGGGATCCAATAACCAGGAATGATAACGGCGTCGTTAGCGACATGTCTTCCAGTCTATGGTTTCTAAGTACTGAGAGATCTAGTTAAGAGAGTAGAGAAGAGTTGGAGACGATGTGATGTCTCGCTTCACGTTCTAAAATAACATTAGGAAATATATGGTACGAGCAAGTTGAAGGAAAGTTGCGAGTAGTATAAATGGATATGTATAGGTCGCAAGCTAAAGTATGGTAGAGCGACAAAGTTTTAAAAAAAATGAGTAAGGATAAGGAAAGGCAAGTGAAAAGGTGATTAGAATGGATAAATCCTTGAAATTAAGTCCATGAAAACAAGAGAAATAATGGTTTCTCTATGTTATTGAAAGTTCAGTATATCCTGAATGAACTCAAAAGAGTCTAAGATTAATAGCATTTAGAAAGAATGAAATGCTGACCTGGTAATAAAATGAGGGTATAATTGTGACAGATAAAAAATGACGTTTGGGCCTTTGTTTGAATAATGATTTGGAAAAAAAAAAGAGAAGGAGAAAAGATTTCGCTGGCGGCACGAAATTAGGATACCCCCATAAGGTTAATCACATTGAGACACTATGAAATACGATTATGGAAATCACTTTAAATATTCCTCAATGCAACGTAAGCCCTAACGACAATGTATTACGTAAGAAGTTTCAAGTCATCAAGGAGAGGATTGTAGATCAACATTAAGGTGAATCAACAATGGACATATACAAGTTACAAAGTATGACATGAGATTAAGCCATGATTCTTAAGACGAATGGTAATGAAGGAGCATTAAAGAACTAAGATTTATACCTAAAGGATAGGCAAAAGTAACGAGGAGCTTGGTAAGCATACCTCAGTAATGATAAATTGAAGTAGTATTTATGGTATAGTATAACCCATGCAGACGCAGTAAAGTCATATGAATGGATAACCAGATCTCTAAAATAAGATATGGCCATATTCGCAAGTTCTACAAAGTATCGAGCAAAGAACTTCACTATACCTATAGATGCCCAAAGAGGCACCCTATTAAGCCTTGTATATTTTTACAAAGTAAGGCCTAGAGATTGACTAAAAGCAAAAAGGAAAAAGTAAAAATGAATCGCATAAGCGCACTTACAAAGGTAGGATCATACATGCTGCATGACAGGAGGTAGCAGCAGTTGCGAGATTAGAAAGATTTTGACCACAAGTCATGATATGAGCAAAAAGACTAAAGGGGGGAATACCCTAGACTTTGGATTTATTCATAGAGCAACTGCTTAAATGGCAAGGAGAGTATTAAGGCATTCAGAAGAGCTATAAGTTATGAAAATAATAAGAGCATCAGTCAACATTCGAGGACGAATGTTCCAAAGGAGGGAATGATGTTACACCCTGCAATATTACGATAATGTTACGCTTCGCAGTATTAAGTTACAACAATGTTGCACCCTGCAGTATTATATTACGGTGATGTTACGCTTCACAGTATTAAGTTACGACGATGTTGTACCTTGTAGTGTACGTTGAATTTGTCGTAAGTTAATTGACATCAGTCCAAGTAAAAGATTATTTGGAGATTATAAGGATTAGGCTATTTCACAAGTGATGAGTAAATTCGTGACGGTGAAAGAGGAAGAAATTCAAAGAATGAATTTTCGTCAAAGTTGGGCATTTTGGGATAAAATACGGCCCGAGCTAAAAATACCCGGTATTTATAGACTAGTGCCATATAAGGTACTACATGACCATGCTAGTAAGGTGTATAAAGTATATTAAAAATAAGTAGAATTTTAAGTAATTTAAGGCAATTTTTAAATTATGCGGGTAATTAGTTAATTACCGGATAACATGACATTACCCAATTAACTAATAAGTGGATAAAAAATAATAAATTTCCTCCAAAGTAACGTGGCAGCCCAAGAGGCATTTAAAAATGACTCTTACTTTTATGTTCAAGGTGTCACTTTAAGAATCAACACATCATATGAGCCACTTTGGGTTCTTTTGTCCATTCTTTGGGAATTTGCCAAGCTTTAACAAATATCAAATGAATTTCATTGCCCAAAAACATGAAAACTCCCTGGAGTATTACAATGTCCAAAATGTGAAACTCTCTGCAATGATACAAGTCCAAACGTGAGATTCTTTGAAATGCTAATTCAAAGAAAGCCCGATACAATCATTCTCAAGAATATTATACGGAATTTTCTCTATTTCATTCCGCTATTACGTGTTTTCGCAAAAGAGAATCGGTTCAGGTATATTAAGGCTATCCCTTCTTTTTTTGGCATGATTTGTACTTATTTATGTGCCTTACATACTCAGTACATTATGTAAGCACGTAATTTTTGACCCGGACAACTTTTATAAAGTAGTATTTTAAAGAAATAATTAGGATATTTATTTGGGTTTATTTCTATAGGATTTTACTTTATTACTAATTTTAATTCTATTTTAAGGCACGGAAACTAAAATATATATATATATATATATATATATATTATCTTATTTCTATTTAGTTTAAGGTTATTAAGATTTTTGTAGCCATATATTTTGTTTATACTATAATTTTTAATCTTACTTTTAATTTATATAAAACATCATATATATATATATTTACATAGTTTGATTAATTAATTGAAATTAGTTTTAATTTTGAGTTGGTTATTTAATGGACTTTTAGAAATTGAAGAAGTACAAAATTTTGGACCCAATTCTACACAAGACAAGGCCCAAATCGGATAACCCAAGCAGCCTCGGTGACCCGCACCCAGTCCACCCGACCCGCCCCGTTTTGATTTTAAATCCTGGCCATCCAACCCCTGTAATTCTAAGGTCAATATTAATCCCCACACCCCATATAAAACCCTAATTTTTCCCAAACCCTAAACTAAAATACCAATCAAACTGGTGCCTCCCCCATCTCTAAGCTTCTGCCCGCGCGCCTACCACCCCAAACTCGCCGGAACTCGTCCAAACCTGGCGAGTTAACTCATATGGTCCACCCGTGGTCCCCTCTATCATCTTCTCCTTCCTCCACGTAGCAATGATAACAAACTCAGAATATTTTCTAATGATTTCGCCCAAACCGAATCCGCCATCCCTCTCACGCGCTTTAGCTTTCTAGGACAAATCTCGGATAAATGGGAGCGGTCGGATGTGAGCGAAAGCGGATCCACGCCTTCCATTTTTCCAATTTTTGTTTTAATGAAAAGCTTTCGGGAGTTTTCGGTTTTGGAAGTTATTTTGGTAGATTTCTCGGAGGATAAATTTTCGGGGGGGGGGG